AAGCCCTAAACCCTAAACCGTGTACTCTGGGAAGGGCAGGCCTTTCGCAGCCGCTGGCCGGAAGATGGAGACCCTCTTGAAGCCGTCCATCTTTGCAACCGCCTGGCACAAAAAACCCTGCGAGCCTCGATTCTTCCAGAAGAGTCGGACAAAACCTCAAACCTTCAGCCCAGAACGCTCGAGTTTAGGGTTTTTAGGGTTTAGGGTTTTAGGGTTTGGGGTTTAGGGTTTGGGGTTTAGGGTTTTGGGTTCGGGGATGGCCTGGACGGAGCTGCTTGGAACCAAGGACCGCAGAGCCCGAACAAAAAGCACTGACAGGCCCCTTGCCAAACCCCCTAAAGCCCCAGGGCTTCGGTTTTAGAGTTTAGGGTTTATGGCTTGCAACCCTATACCCGAACTGTTGACATCTCTAAAACTCCGAAACCCCAGCGTGCCTCCATCGCCTCTCCTCTGCGAAGGCTCCCGTGGTGGGGCAGGGCTCGTAAGGCTATGTAGCTTCGGGTTCTAGGGATTCTGGGGTTTAGGGTTTAGGGTTTAGGGTTTTAGGCTATGTAGCTTCGGGTTCTAACGTGAACAGTGCAGGGTAGTATTGAGGAGGGAGGGCTTAGTGTCAAGGACTTGGGAGCTTTTTCGGCTTTCGGGCCGAGCTTCGTGGGTGTGCAAGGGTCAGTTCTTTGAACACTTACGATTCGCAGGTTTGGGCTGACGGACTGGGTCTCTGGTTGACTGGGTCTCTGGTTCACGGTGTGGGGATCAGTGCAGGGAGGGTTACATTCAGGGCTGAATGGCTCAAAGTTTGAAGTTGGAGGTCTAGCAGCAGAAATCAGCGTAGACCCAAAGCCCTGGGTACTGACTATGGTGTACCTTGCTACCGAAATTCTAAAAGATGTCTAGGCCACCGAACTGCAAAATGTGAGGAACACTAAAGTAGAAGCCAGCAACCCTAAACCCTAAACCCTACACCCTAAACCCTAAACCCTGAACCCCAAAACCCCAAAAGCCGGGAGATCCTTGGAGCCGGCCGAAGGCGAAGTTGCTCTTGGGGTCCGCCCAGACCTTCTTCGCGTGTTTTGCTTTCGGGGGTATTCTCGATTCGGGCTGAGGAAGTTTAGGCTTCAGGACTCAGGGTTTAAGGCTTAGGGTTCAGGCCTCAGGGTTTAGTAGGATTCAGGACTCAAGGTTTAGGGCTTAGGATTCAGGACTCAGGGTTTTGGGGCTTATGGCTTAGGATTCAGGACTCAGGGTTTAGGGCTTAGGATTCAGGATTCAAGGTTCAGGGTTTAGGGCTTAGGATTCAGGCCTCAAGGTTTGGGGTTCACTTTTTGGGCCTGTCGGGTTTGGCATAGAACAAAGCTTGTTTTACCGGGCTCTGGTCTAGGGCTAGCGTGTACTTTTGGGGCGTCTCGAAACTGGAAGATCCTTCTTTTGAGAGCTTCATGAAGGGTTTATGGCTTAGGGTTTAGGGGAGGATATGTTTTTGTTTGTGGGGTTAAGGGAATGCTGCCTGAATGACTAGGGTGGGGTTGTAGTGGTTCGATATATCGGCCTTAACCATTCAAACGGGGGAATGTCACAGGTTTTTGGTATAATCGAACAAGCAGAAATCATCTAGCTATCTAGACCTCCTTTAGAGGGACCCTCAAAGGGGGCCTCAAAAGGGTGAGGGAGTCGGGCTCCCCAAACCCTAAACGCTAAACCCCAACCCGAACCCGAGGCTTCTGAGAATCCGACCGAGCTCAGCAGCGAGAAGTGTGGAACTCCCCGGGCTTCGCAGAGCCTTTTCGTGGCGGATCGGGGATGTAACAAGGCTCCGAAAGTGTGAGGGTTAGGGGTTGTTGATGTAGGGTTTAGGGTTCGGGGTATAGGGTCTGGGATTTCGGCATCTTAGGGCTTTATAGCTTGTATACGCAAGGGATTTACGAGCGTTTCATGAGTTTCATAAGGCTCGCCGTCGACAACACCACCACGTCCACTACCGTCGCCGCCGGACATTGTCACCAGCAGCAGCATCATGACCGTCACTGTCACCGTCGCCATCAGCCACTGCCCAACGGTCTTGCCGTTGCCATCATCTGGACGGCCATCATCGCCATGATCGACTTTGCCATCACCGCCCTGTCGCTTTGCCACCCATTGCACCGCCCGACCTCCTAGAAAAAGAACACACAAACATGCAGACAGAGGCATGCACCCAGCCAGCCACAGATCCACCGAGTCTGGATTCTCGGCCCCTTTTACGGCCCTCTGCCTCGCGAAGTTGATCACGGCATCGCGCTCCACCGCGGCCACATCTGCCGCATCAGACCTGCTTTTTTAGCTGTCGCGGCCCCCCGGAATGTGACTCGGATGGAGACTCTGCTGGGCACTGCTTTCTACCTCAACATGATGTTGAACCTCAGAGATTGATTCTCAGCACCGGGCCACCCAGAACGAGCACCCAGCACGCAAAAAGCCTCCGTTTTCTCAAAGCTACGAGGAAGTTGCACCTGACGGTTGCTGCAAGCAGAAAGCATGGAATCTGAGGACCCATCTGCATCAACGCCATCAAGGGCGGAAGCTTCTACTCCGCAGTCATCATTGCCTTTGCTGGTCAGCATAAGGCGACGGCAGTGCTCCTCCGAATGTGCGAAGGGAAGGCTAAGGCTTTTGAGATGAGCAGACTGTCAAGAAAGAGCTGGACGTCAGGCTTATTGCTTTTCATCCAGGCGACGGAAGTCTGCGATGTGCTGGTGGAGCTTGGCGGCAGCTGAAAGCCTCGCAAGGGTAGCCCGACTGCACCATGCAAATGAAGTCTCCCATAGAGCGGCACTGGCTTCATGAAGTGCTCTACAGTGTGGCCCTGCTTCGGGTTCTTACTATGCCGAAACACTCTTCAGCGACATCAGCGAACCGTGACCACTAGACTCACTAGACTCCACCTGAAACACTAAACATCTTATACGCCCTTAACCCCCGCCTACCCCCTCCCACCCAACTCTGGCTGTTGCTTGCCCAAGAGCTCTGCCCCTCGACCCCCTCCGAGCTCCGGGCTCCTTAAAGGCGCCGGTCTTCCGGCGGACCAAGGTGTGCACCTCAAGATCGGCAGGCTGGATAGCACAATATCTGTAGCCCATTGTGGAAAAAGTGGCTTAAAGTATCTGGTCGAGGGTTTGTAATAGATGTGAATGCATGCATACATGGATGCATGGATGGATGGATAGATAGATGGATGTACGCGTGCATGTGTGCAAGTATGTATACATACAGATACTATAGTACCATCACGAGCACCATGTTGCACAACGAACCCGTACTCAGTCCTAGCAGGCAGCATTGTACGAGCGCACATCCGGACCCGAAGCCCAAAAGCCTTCATCCAAAACCCTCAACCCCTATAAGTAACCCTGTTTTCAACCTGACAGCATCCTTGTAGTAAGCTTATAATACTTGTAGCACCCACCTGACAGCATCCTTATAGTAACCTTATAAGTAGCACCCTGAAGCCCTCAGGTATGCAACGTCGCCAGGGGGGCATCTCCTGATCTTGCGGAGTGTTGAGGACTGACAATACCAAAAATATCAAAACCAATCTCAAAAATAATCCTAAGAGAGAATAAGAAGAGTGAGATGAAGAACAATAACAAGAAAATCAATACCAATCTCAAAGAATAATCCTAAGAACAATGATACTGAGACTAAGAACAGTGAGATGACGGTTCGAGCTGAAGTCAAAGGTGTGCCGGAGCATGCACGGGGCGGTGCTTTAAAGTACGTGGCATCCCCTTTTGGGATTTAGGGGCTTTAAGGTTTAGGGCCTAGGGGTGTATACGATTGAGAGGTTTTTGAGCGTAGAGTTGAGGGTTTAATTAGGAACCCTTAACCCTAAACCCAAAACCCTTTAATTAGGACTTGGACCCTGGAAAGTTGACATAACCATGCAGGATAGGAGGAAGACGATTGCGGCAAACTCCCTTTTCTGAGCAACCCGCCGTCTCGCACAAAGGCGACAGCAAAAGCTGCCGCGTGAGGGCCTGGCGTCTTGGAGCATTGGTTTTGGCGGTAACAGCATGGTTTGAGGCTTGGTGTTGGTGGCTGACTCATCAGCTTGCATAATATAGGGGCCTGAATATTTAGAATAGGGCTTTGGGGTCCATTATACTTTTTTTGTACTTATGGTAAGGAACCCCAAATTAACATAGGTAATTACTATAAGGCCCCTACATTACACGGTGATCGAAGCGCGACTGTCTCATTCATTGCTGATCGTTGTTGTACGAGGCACAGATGCAAGGCGCCTCTCCGACGTGCCCCGTTGCGCCGGCAACCAAGCTCTTGTACAACCGGTACCCGGGCATGGCGTCAAGGCAACGAGGGCCTAAACAACTAGAGCAATAACAGGTCCTGCATTTTACAGGGTCGCGACTGATGTGAACCCGGTTTTGGCTCTATATATATGACTATTTCAACCGTATCCGCACGGAGATTAACAAGACACGATGGTACTTATTCCTGAGAGCCGCGTTTATGGGTGGAAGCGCAACCTCGTCTCTCGAAGCGGCACAGCTCTGGTCGATGCGACGCTCTTGAAGGTTCAATGTAGCCACTTCTGTCACTTCTGTCATTAGGAAGCCTCAAGGGTAAGGTAGCTATAGTCGCAGGTATTTGTAGCCCCCCCTTTCATCCAGCTGCTAAGATAACTGTGGTCATGGGCATAGAACTCTGAAATGGAACTGCTCAGACATGGGGCCCCTCATGTCGTTGAATCCGCTGAAGCAGAGAAGCTGCCGCGAGATCAGAGCTTTCAAAACTCACGGACTCTTTCCGCGCCCACAGAGCACCTCGTCGCTGCCTACTTGGAGAATCATGGGACTTAGTAAGTAAGGTTATAAGTCCCCTAATTGGGGCTATAATAATTGGGGTTATAAGTATACTTACCTTGCTAAGTCCCATGATCCTCTAAGTAGACCCTGCCCTGAACCCTGCGAGCCACAACCAGGAAGCCCGAAACCAACGCCGCCGGAGCTCCTGAACCTCCGAGACCTCAGCCGAAGCTCGGAAGCCTCTTCCCCGAACCTCAACACCAAAGCCAACAACTCCCGAAGCTCCAAACCCTCCTAAACCCCTAATAACCCTAAACCCCTAAAGCCTAAACCCTAAACCCCTAAAGCCTAAACCCTAAACCCCTAAACCCCTAAACCCTAAACCCTAAACCCCAGCAGAGCCAAGCCCTTCGGTCGACAGTGCTGGCAGGGGCGTACCATGTCTGCTTGGCCTGTTTAGGGTTTAGGGTTTATCGGCTTTATGGTTTAGGGTTTAGGGTTTAGGGTTTAGGGTTTAGGGTTCAGGGTGCAGGGCCCGATTTCGGTTTGGATTTCTCGTGTTCGTTTCAAGGCGTGCGGTTGCTGGAAGGTGTTGGGGGCTTTGGACTGCACACAGTCTGATAGGCTTCACGAAAACCCTCAAGGCCACTGGGGAGCAGATCAAAACTACTCGCAGAAAAAACGAAAAGCAAAAAGCAAAATGTTAGAACCCAACGCCAAATTACTTCACATCTATGAAACCCTGAACCCGAAAGGCCCTAAACCGTAAACCGTACGCATACATGATATATATATATATATATGCACACACATATAGACGATCACACATTTTTAAGTTTGCCCGCGCCCAGGGCCTCCTCCTGCCAGGTTGGCTGCGCCCTCCTACCACGAGGCCGGCGCCAGTCGCGCACCTCAGCTCTGTGTGGTCTCTGAGCAGGTTTAGGCTTTCAAAGTTTAAGTTTCTCGCTACCTCGCATGTTTGGGATGCCGAGGATGCGTTGGGGTGGAGGCACGAAATCAAGACATCACAGAGACAGAAAGGGCCGAAAAATCGAGCTTGCGGCCTTTTCGGGCGTCAGGTCTTGGTATTCCTGACTTCTGGCTGTGCCGTGGTCATCCAGCACACCGACAACACAAACAGAATTCGAAGTCCTTGCTGGCCCAGGTCGATGCAGGCGCATCGGTGTACTGGTACTTGCTTGCCTGCAACGGAAGGGCATCAAGGCCTCTGCCGTGTATCACGCATAGGCATGAGCACTACATGCAGGTAACAGGACCAAGGCCTTGTAAGCAGGCATCGGCACAGGGCGCCCCTGCATGGAGATGTATGGGTATGGACCAATGGACATCTACGGAGATGGTGTGACATCACTCATTAGACACCCGTACACACAAGCTGCGGTGCAAATAAGAAATGAGCTGCGCAAAATTGAAGTCTGCTGCAGTTGGATCATGCACTCTCGCAGCACGCCCACAGCAGCATCAGCACGCCGAAGCGCGAAAGGCTAGGATCATGCAACTGGCCCAAATCCATTGTCACTCAAAGCTTTCAAGCTTTCGGGTGTAGGGCTGCGAGTTTGCACCTTCCCTCGCCGGCCTCGCTGTCAAGACGCGGTCACGAAGTGCGGGCAACTCGGCAGCTTGTCGTGCCAAGGCTTCAACAAATCTTGATCCAGAAGCCACGGCGACGGTCAAGGGCGCCAGAGTTTCCAAGGCCCCATGGGCCTGCGAACACACAGTCCAACGACAGAAAATCTTATGCCCCCAAAACCCAAGCCCTGAAGCGCTGTGACCAGAAACTAAGCCCCGAGCCCCAAGCCCTCCAGCCACGAACCTCGGAACCTCGAACCCTAACCTCCCAGCACAGGCAAGGCCTCTACGCCCCGTTGAACCCTAAGCCAGCTAGCGGCGCCTTGCTGCCCCAGGGTCGGTACGTTTTCAGGGCTGGGGCGGCCTTCATAGTGAGAATACCAGCAATATACCTTAAGAACCTAAAACCCCACTTTTTTGTAGGTTCTCATCCTAAACCCCAATATGGGATTTATATGGACCCTACAAAAAAGTCGGTTTTGGGTTCTTAAGGTAGTGTGACTGAGACGGAGGAGTCGAGCTCGGGCTTGAAGGAAAGATTGCAGGTTGTCAAGGTTCAAGATGCAAGGTTCATAAAGTCTTCTGGCTGTTTTACAAGACAGCGTTCTCGATGCTAGATCATGAACCATTTTGCACCTCAGCTGCACCACGTCAAGTGCTGCGGCATTTCATTCGAGATGCTCTAAGTATGCGCACCTTGGCAAGTTTTGCGGATCAGATGCATGGTCGGAAAGCTGCTTCATGAGTACATTTGCATAGGCACATGTACGTGTCTCATGCTTTTGCTGTATGTGACGACGTCCATATTTTACCTTTCTGAACTTGCAAAGGCTTGCATCGTTCTATGTACAGCTTCGGTCCAACAGCATACAGGCAAGCACCTTTATCTTTGAGTTCGAGATAGGAACTGGGGAAGCCCGCAGCAGGCGCCTCCGACGGGTTCACGCCTAATCACGGATTGAACCAACAAAATTGAACCCTTACATAGGTGCTTCTCCAAATTGGCGCCCCTTTTTAGGAACCCACAACAAGGCGGCACCCTCATAAAGAAGGGACCCTCAAAAGGGACCCTAACTAATCTCTACCCTTATAGCAACCTTATAGAAACCTTACAGAAACCCTTATAGATGATCCCTTGAAGGAACCCTAAGAAGACCCTAAAAGAGACCCCCATTTAGAGAACTACCCACATACGACCAAGAGGGCTTCAGTTTGCCGTCGGCTTTGGGTCGCCTTTGGCCTGCGGCGCAGGTTCGTCGACATGTTATCTTCAACTGCCGGGCTTTAGGGTTTACGGCTTTGGCTTTAGATGGGTTTAGGGTTTAGGGGTTTAGGGAAGGGTTTATGGGTTAGGGAACAGGGTTTAGGGGGTAAGGTTTGTCAATTATGGTAGAGGTACATGTAAAAAGAACATCAAGTGATGACAGCTTGTGGCTTAAGGTGGACGATGAACTCGAACTTTAAGACTCAAAAGGCGAGTTGGGTTGGGGTTCATGATTCGGGACCGGAAGTTGCAGAATACGGGCGAACTCCCTACCCAAGGAATGCGCTTCTGCACACCCTAAACCCAGGGTGCACTTTTGTGGGTTTGCCCGATTCTTTGCTCCTGGCCCCTGCCAGTGGTCCTCCCCTTTTAGAACGTGTGTTGCTGGCGCAGAGCACAACCAGAACACATTTGTCAGAGCAGACGGTTTTTTTGCTCCATGCTTGAAGCCAAACCCTGCTGGGGCTGTGCTTTATGCTCCGGGGTGGTGTTGGCTTTTTGCTGCGGCCCCGCGCGGACCCTCACTCACTCAAGGCAGTAGCCTTCGGCCACGGAAACTGACTCGGGGGCCTGCCGACGTGGTAAACCCTAAACCCTAAACCCTAAACCCTAAACCCAATAGCGGTCTTGGGGCTGGGGCCGCCCAGGTGTTGTTACTTTTTGGCCTCGCCCCTCTCATTTGCCGCTGCCAGACAGTTTCCCTCACACAAAACCCGCCAGGGCCAACACGAAAATAACACAACTTCCCCTAAACCCAAACTAAAACCCAAAACCCTGAGCCCTAAACTCTGAACCTAAACTCTGAACCCTGAACCCTACAGTAAGCCTGGAGCTCTGAACCCTGAACCCTAAGCCCAAAGTCTTTGCATGCACAGCCGATCCCAATCTCCGCCTTCTCCCTCTCGGTAGCTCCCGACCTAGGCTCCTGGAGCGCTACTCTGAAGGCTGCGTAGGCTTGGGTTTTGCTTTAGGGCTCGGGGAATTGAGGGTTTAGGCCTTAGGATTAGTAGCAGAGGTTTAAGGTTTGGGGTTCAGGTTTAGGGTTTAGGGTTAGCAGCAGAGGCAGAGGTTTAAGGTTTTAATTCTTTTTGAACGCCTTTTTCCTTCTGTTGGAGCATCCTTCATGCAGAATCCGCATTAGTGGAGGCCGACAACTAGCCCCTCAGTACTCAATCTGATCGGTCTACACCCTCTCTTAGCTGTGCACAGCTCTCACCCTTCATGCGACTCACCCCAAGCACTCGATGCCAGTTCAGCCTTGACGCGCCCCCACCCCAAAGCCCAAATCGAACCCTGAACCCTAAACCCGCAGAACCTGCGGCTCGAAGTTTAGGGTTGAGGTCCCAAAGCGTCACCTCGTCCCTGCTCTCGCTGGGCCGAAGGAGCTGCTGCGCCTCGCGCCGCGAGACTTGGGTTTCGGGGTTTAGGGTTGTAGGGTTGACAAAAGGTTGAGGGGATCGGGCGTGGGGTTTAGGGTTTCGAGTTTAGGATTCACCAGGGGCTTTGGAGAGAGTTTAGGAGTCTTAGGTATTTCCCTAAACCCTAAACATCCCTAAACCCTAAACACCAAAGATCGGGCATTTGGGGTTGGCCCTTCCGCAAATGAGGCTTAGGGGGTCTTGGGGTTGTATGGAAACGGTTCGCATGGTGGCACGGGATCCCCAGCTTTCGCACAACACACCGGGACTGGTCCCGCGTCTCCTCCGAATTTATGGGTTTAGGGTTTAAGGGTTAAGGTTTTAGGATTTGGAGGCTTTAGGGTTTATAGGGTTTTGGGACATCAGCATCCCAACAGCAGCAAGCACAGAAGACTGTAGCAGTCCTCATGCCTTTTTGGTTCTAGTGTCTGCATGGGTTGCAATCCGAAGGTCTGTTTACGGGCGCACCAGGTCACGCCAGTCTCAATTCTCACCTCACCCAATCAACCACATGCTGCAAGGGCTTCATAAAGCTACATGGTTTCCTGCACGGCATAGGTTTTGGTAAGTTATCACAGTCCATCCTTAACCACCTAAGCCATGAACCTGCCATAGTCTTTCCGTTATACATGGATAGTCCACGACTTAGACTCAGACTTAGACTAACTCAAAGCTCGAGATTACCTACTACAGGGACCTTAATAATTTGGACAGGGTTCGGGAAGAAATTACAGCATATCTATATGTGCTGACTAACATGCGTTACTCTTGCCGACTGTTCAGACCTCTTTATTCTTGCTCGACTACTACGTGCCTTGAACCCTAAGCCCAAAACCTCAAACCCCAACCCTGAACCCCAAACCTTGACCCCCCCTTAACCCAATCCCTAAACCCTAAACCCTAAACCCTAAACCCTAAACCCAGGCCTGCAGGAAAGCAGGAGGCAGTGGAGCACCGGGCTTCTTCTTAGCCCACCGCTGGAGCAGGTCCTGGTTAAAAAAACAAAAACCCCCAATTCCGCTTTGGGGTTCAGGGTTTAGGGTTTAGGGTGTAGGGTTTAGGGTTGAGGGTTTAGGGTTTAGGGTTTAGGGTTTAGGATCCTCAGCGATTCCCGAGATTCAGGTGAGACACACGAGTTTGGGCTTCGGGCTTAGGGCTCTTGGGGTTTAGGGTCCCGAGTGTTTGGTGAGACATGCGCTTCTGGGTGTTGGATCCAAGTAGAGCGGTGACGATCAAACCCGAAACTTTAGAATCTGCAGCAGGTCCTCTGTGCATAGGTAGGACTGCAACCCTACTATAGAAGCCGAATCATTATCAAGACTGCTCCTTGATTGGTGTTCCTTGTTATTCTTGCCAAAACTTCAAACCTGAAAGCTGACTCCCAAAGACCGTACATAAGGGTTGCTTACGGTTTGGGCTTAGGGCTCAGACTTGTTCTCCGGTTTCGGCTTTCGGTTTAGGGTTTGCGGTTCTGGGTTTAGAGTTTAGGCTCAAACAATGGCCAAGAGAAGCGGTCAAGCTGCCAAGCAACCTGAAAGAGCTGGCTACTATCTGGGAAGATGTTGGCAAATTTCTAAGGCTGATAAAATAGCCCGACAGGCCAGATCTACTCTACTCCGCGCATGGAGCCTGCTGCCAGCGTGAGCTCCCTGAACCCTGTATCCTAGATCCTAAGACCCCAAGACCGCACTTGCCCTTCAAGCTCGACCCAACACCGTAGAAGCAGACTGGTTCGAAAGCATCATCACCATCAGCATCACCATCTTCATCGTCGGTGTCACCAGCATCACCCTCCAACAACATGATGATCCCAACAACCATCAGCATCACCATTATTGACGCTAGATTTCCTTCTCTCCACATTCATATCAACCCTGCTCCTTATCGCCAGCCTCGGCATCACTGTCTAGATCGGTCTCACCATCACCATCATCTCATTCGCTTTCATCCGGTTTAGGGTTTAGGCTTAGGGTTAGCATCCCAAGTCAGCAAATTGACCAACGAGTCTAAAAGCAAATCAACGAGTCAGGTGAACCCACTCATAGCTACGACAGGCAGTTTTCACACAAAGAAGCACTACAAGCGACAGAACAGTACAGCAGACTTCAATATGAGAACAAGGATACATGTAGGTGGAAGTGAACAGATACAACACTTGCAACGGAACACGTCCAGCCAGACATCGCCCAATGTGATGAGACAGCTAAGCCACACTGTGCAATCTGGTATTGCCGGCAAGGAGACCATCCAATGGATAGACAGTTCAATCCTCAACACCATGGCGCTTCAAGCAACACCAAGGACAATGCCCGAGCAATCACACACTAAGGTAGGCAGCAAGTGATCGCTGCACTAGGCAACAGCAGACAAACGAAGCAGACACACGAAGCAGCTAAGCAGTCCCTGAATCAGCTGAACCAGTACCATCACCGCCACCAACAACTCCACCACAAGCAGAATCAGATCACTGCCACTCCACAACGACAAAGCCCGAGGGAAAAGTGCCTAAGGGCTGGACAAATGCCCAAAGAATTGGGCTTTGGGGCTCAGGGTTCAGCGTGGCAGACACGCAGAATTAATCAACCCTAAACCCTAAACCCTAAACCCTAAACCCTAAACCCTAAACCCTAAACCCCTAAACCCCTAAACCTTCAGAGCCCCCACCTGTAGGGAGCTGCAGCGACGGGTTTCCTCCGCAAAGGCTTCTTGCCCCCGGCGCTCCTGAAGGAGGTCCGCAGGTTCGGGGCCTTGCTAACCAGAATGAGACTTTTTTTTTTGGTATATTACCCTGAGATGTAGTAAAACTGTAGAAGTGTCGGACCATGACAAGGAATCTTAGGGAATAACCTCGGTACTTATTCAAGCTTCTGTATAAGACCCCGGGATGATTTCTTCGAGATCCTAAGTACACGACCATTCGCGTGTGATGTTGTATAAGGTTCGATGTAGCTGTATGAGTGCTCATTGACATGGCTATTGGTATGATTACTGTTGGGACGAGTAGTTGCATCTGCAGTCCCATTGTCTGGTGACGGAGAGTAGATTTACGAAAATCTTTGGACAGGGCTTGGTTCGTTTGTCGAGTAATATCGGGGCCTAAATAATTACCAATGCTATTTTGGTGGTTCCCTATTGTAATCATAGTATGACATACCCCCAAAAACCCTGTTCTAAGTATAAAGCCAAGTCTGCAGCCACTGAGAGGTCGTGGCGCACTGTCCTGTTGCTCCGCCCCCTAATTTGGGTTTAGGGCTTTGGGTTTAGGGTTTAGGGTTTAGGGCTTAGGGTTTAGGGTTTAGAGCTTAGGGTTTAGGGTTTAGGGCTTAGGGCTCAGGGTTTAGGGTGTAGGGAACAGAGCTGCTACACCTCGTTTTGCCCACCGACTTCAGCACGGAGAAGCTCGAGGCCTCACTGAGCTTTCCTTGGGAAAGCTCCATGGAGGGGGTTCCGAAAATGAGGGGAAACTTATTGTGGGGGGGTCCTTATTAGTGTAATAGGAATCCTTCTATTTAGGGTATTACATTAGGTCCCCCTATTTTCGGAAACCCCCATGTGGCTCGAAGACAGGCGCGGGTTTCGGAACGCTTCTTTCCGACAAACACGGTCGAGTGAGCACGATCCAGAAGGAAGCGTGCAGCAAATGTCGGAGATGTAATATAGGGGCCTTAATAATCAGAATAGGGTTCTGGGGCCCATTATAGTCTAATTTTCATAAGGAACCTCCAAAATAATATAGGTAATTATTAAGGCCCCTATATTAAGTCACGGATCAGCTGCATCCACGAAGGTTGCTTGGAAGACCGTCACTCTTGCCTTGCTCTCCTCATCCAGGCATTCGACGCACTGCCACTGAATGCTCGGATAGCGACTGTGGACACCCCCAAAGTCATACTCGAAGGGCCCTCGTGACCTGCTCAAAGGCAAGGTTGCAGCATAGAGGGCACCGTAGGCGAAAGGAACGCCGGTGAAGCCGAAGAGCGCCGCAAGCCCGAACCACAGCAATCCATTCAAGCCAGTTTGAAGGAAGCCGATGACCATAAATACCGCAAAGGTCGACAAGAACACCGAACCGAAGGCGATGCCTCTGGTCAGGGAGGAGCGGCGAGCCCGGGCACCTCCTTGTACCAGCTGCTCTAACTCGCCCTTCACCTGGAGCTGCCGATAGAAACGAGGCTTACCGCCCGTACGACCACGCTCCGGGCCGGTCTTCAAGCACAGAACAAAAAAACACAAGAGACGGTATGAAGCAGCATGTTTCATTGATGCTTCTGCATCCAAAAACTCTGCGATTTTCGTCGGAAACACGCGAGAACCCGAGAGGTTTCACGGTCACACTTGGTGCAAAGGGATCATTCACAGGACGTTTATGCTAGGCTTTTCCCAGAATCACAGGCTTGTTCCAAGATAACTAGACCAAGGAAGGACAACTATACTGAGGGGGGGCATAAAAGCACATAAGAGCAATAATTGTTTTTTGTGTCGACAGGAAAGCTGGCCCACCCCTAGACCCATGCAAGTGTCGTCGGTACTGTGAAGCAGCAGAGCCGTCCGAAGGATCCGGGTTGCTTACATATTCTGCGGTCTTCATGGCCCGTCCAAGGCTAGTGCGCACATACTGGGGGACTTGGTGTATGTAGGGATCCAGTCCAGGTGAGACTCTGCATATCGTGAACCCATCCCACCGACAACAGGGACTCGCTGACAAGTATCCCATCATGACGACTCCAGTGGTGTCTCGGCATGCAACTACGGTCTAGAAAGAGCTTGCGGCGCCATTGCATTTTGCGGCGCCTGCTTCAACTACTTATTAAATAGATGCAGACATTCGTTAGCCGTTATCCTGTCAGACTGGCAAACAAAATATGTAAAACTTTCGAAATCATGAGGTTGTCACATACTGGTAATCTTCTGGAGTGAGATGACCTTGCAGTTCTGCTGGCGCTTCCTCCGGCAAGTGGGGTATTTGCCAGAGGCCCTGCTTGAAGACGGGTACCACCACCGACATCAAGACACCCGTCTCGCGAAGCACTGGGGGATCATGGCACAGCGACAACCTTTTCTGGCGGTCCAGGGCTTGGGGTTTGGGATGTTGGCAGGCAGTGGACTGAAATTTGTTTGGAATGAACATGGGTAGTTTTCTAAATTAGGGTCCCTTTTGGGGTCCTTTTTATAAGGGTGCCGTACTATATTGGGGACCTAGAAGGGGACCCTAATTTAGAGAACTACCCACATGAATGCCACAAATGAGGTGGCATATCTCATTGCTGGAGCCGAAGTAAGGGCCGGGAATCGACGGATGCGTCTACCTATCCAGCATGACACGAAACTGTATCACAGATTGCCCCCAGGCTCCTGCATGAAACATATCTAAATCTAAAAGCCCAACACCCCAATCCGTCATTGATGCGTAGGCCTGGGCAGTGCAAAGGAGCCGTCTGCTGACAAATTAGAGGTAGAAGCTGGGGAAGGACAGAAGTGAACCAACTTCCTGAGTTCAATCACCTCAACCCTAGAGCCCAAAACCCGAACCTTAAACTAAAGCCCTAAACCCCTAAACCCCTTCTTGGGAGAACAGGAGCCACACCTCTGCCGAAGTTGCCCGGAGGACGTCGGTCAATCGTGTTCGCAAGGCTTCGGCACTTGTCGCTTGCCACTGCAACTCCTCTCGGACAGCCGGGAGCCGAGGTCGGGATCTACTATAGGGGCCTGGTTTAGGGTTTAGGGTTTAGGGTTATTAGAATAGGGTTTTGGGGCCCATTATACTATAGTTATAGTTAGGAGGAGCCCCAAAATAGTATTGGTAATTATTGTAGGGGTCTACATTAATGAGGGCGGGCTCGTGGTTCCATGTTCTCCTGTGCTGTAACCTTGTGCTACACTTCTTGTTTTGACAAGAAGCTTGCATGCAACTCACTGTGGCGCTTCATGTTTACGATGAAGGAGTCTCCAGACTAGAAGTGCATCGTAATGTATACAGTAGGAGCAAAGTAGCAATATGGGGCTTTCCGAAACTTAGGGTACCTTATTTTGGGTCCTTATAATAAGGATCCTACTATTTAGAGTACTGTATTCGGGTCCCCAATTTTCGGAAACCCCCCATATGTTCACCACCGTTGCCATCATCATGGCTGCAGCAAGCGGACGGCAGCTAAAGCCTCGGAACTGGTACCGTTTTCCCAGATTCTCTTCTCACAGCTTCTGCGGGTTTAGGGTTTAGGGTTTAGGGTTTAGGGTTCAGCTTCTGCTCACCAATCCCGTCCTCATTGGCTGCGTCGAGGGACCGCTTTGTTGCATCAAACTGCAAGGAGGTCCTCTCCAACCTGCAGCCACACTCCAACTCTACGCCTTGCGATTCCGTAGCTCTTGCTACCAACCGTTTCGGTATTGGCCTCAAAATGTTGGGTTTCGCTTCGAAGTGCAAGAGCTTTCACGTTGCAAGTGTACTACAATAGCGGGTGTAGTACTTAGTACGGCACATAACACTGACTGTAGCTGCTGATGGGCTAGATCCTAAAGAGGTGGAAGATACGAACGACGACAAGGTGGGCGGGGAGTACGGCGAGTGACAGCTGTTGTTATGACGGCGACTGTATTGTTGATCTTACTACAGCCATGCCTGGTGCGTTGCATGGTAGAAACCTTGGGATGCAAAGGCCTCATAGGAAGACGGGTGTTGGTTTCCTTTGTATGAAGTTCACTTCACTGCAGAAACAGCGAGCGGCTGATTGGGAGGCTTGAGTAAACTTGGCAGAAGGAATCTCAGTATGCGGATACTTAGAGGATCATGGGACTTAGTAAGTAGGATTATAACTAAGGTAGCTATACTTATAACCCCAATTAGGGGACTTATAACCTTACTTACTAAGTCCCATGATCCTCCAAGTAGGACCGGATCCCAAAACACACTGACACTCCCCTCATTAAGCTATTCTACCCAGAAGGTGACCTAAAACCCTGAGCCCTCAGATCCTACGCTAAACTCCACGTTACCAAAATCCTACGCTCCTATGTAAACCCCTCTGAGAAGGACACTGACCAGCCCGAAGGTCCAGTTCGTCGCGCCTGGCTGCTTGATATAAGGGCCTGAAATAATAATTAGAACGGGGCTAGTTTCGGGGTATATTATAGTCAACAGAGCAGAACTAATAACCGCTTAATTTGAGGACCTGAGTGTTTGGAATAGGATTAGTCTCGGGGTATGTTTCAGTATAACCACATTCAGGAACCCTAACGAACCCTTAACCCCAAATCCTAAGCCCTACGCCCTTGAACCTAAGCGCTAAGCCTGAGCTCAGGGCTTACTGCTACCTTTTTTCGGCCTTTGAGATCTGTTTCCATGGTGTGGTCTTTCGCGTTTCGCGTGAGGGATCGGGGTTTCAGAGAACCTCGGGTCTCTCTGTCAGGGTTCTTTGTAGGGGTGCTTAGGCTCCTACAAGTTTTGCGCCCTATATTTGGGGCCCTGATTTTCTGAGACTCCCATAGAGGGGCCTAAATGCCTAAGGGCTCCCAATACAAATGGACGAAGCCCCCGGCCAAACTATGGCAACTATGGCCGTTTGTGTTACGTGAAAGGCCGAAATGACGTCGTCAAGCGAGGATCTAAAGCCAAAAACCCTACACCCTGAAACCCTCAACCGCTTCACCCTGTATACTAAGGAACCCTTCTAGACTACCTCAGAAGAGGGTTTCAAGCTCTGCTTAGTGGGCCCACAAAACCCTTAGTTGGGTCAGGCTGTGGAGTTTGGGGCCCTTGCACCTTCTTTCCTGCGCTCGCGGCGTCGAGAGATCAGGGGGTTTCCGAAAATAGGGGACCCTAATATCGTACCCTAAATAGTAGGATCCTTCTTATCAAAATAAGGTACCCCCTAATTTTTGGAGGCCCCATATCGTACCCTAGATAGATGGTAGGATCCCTCTTATAAGGACCCCAAAATAAGGAACCAACCCTAAACCCTAAACCCTAAACCCTAAACCCTAAACCCTAAACCCTAAACCCTAAACCCTAAACCGAAACTCCCAGATCATTCCGGGCCCAGGAGAAACTGTCGGGCCAGATGCTCGTCGCCCCCCGCCGCCTCCAGAGCCAGATGGCACCTGGGGCTGAAGGAAACCCCGAGGTTTAGGGTTTAGGGTTTAGGGTTTAGGGTTTAGGGTTTAGGGTTTAGGGTTTAGGGGTTTAGGGTTTGGGGGTCTTAGGGTTGAGGGGTTTAGGGTTTGGGGGTCTTGGGGGTTTGGGGGCTTAGGGGGTTTAGGGTTTAGGGATTTAGGGGTTTAGGGTTTAAGGTTGCATGTAGGGTACGGGGCTTAGGGTTGAGGGTTTAGGAGCGGAGGGGATCAGCATTCGGTTCAGGTCTGGGTTTGAAGGTTTACGTGTAAGGCTCGCTCATAGTTCTGGAGACGCTTGGCACATGTGATCTAGAATTCAGAGCATGTAGCGCAAGCCAGAGAAAGGGCCAGAAACCTCAGAGTGGCCTCTTTTAGAACCCTACCCTTTCAGAAATGGATGCTGTAGTACAGATGCGCACATTACATAAACCCTGAGACACTTCCATGACCCGAGGCGCTTGGTGACTTCGAAGCCCGACAGAGCGAGGCGGCCCACGGCATCTTCGAAGGCGTCGGCCTCGGAGAGGCCCAGCGGAAGGGACTCCGAGGGCGCGGGATCCCCGGCGAAGAGCGGCGCGCCCTGCACCCGCCAGGCCGGCAAGACGGGCTCGGAGGACTTCGAAGGGCCCAGCAAGGGGTGGTCCTTCTCCTTTTCCTTCAGGGTTTAGAGTTTAGGGTTTAGGGTTTAGGGTTTAGGGTTAGGGTTCTTCGTCCCCCTCCTCCTCCGCCTTCTTCGAAGCCTCCTCCTTCTGGGGCTCCGGCTCCTTCGAAGTCTCCTTCTCCTCACTCTTCGGCTTCTCGGAAGCCTCTTCCAGGAGCTCGGCGAAAATGTCCACGTCCGTGTCTTTCGCAGAGCGGTGGACGCTGCGCCCCTCCGGAGCTGGGGGAAGCGGCAGAAACTCGCGATCCGGGCCCAAACCACCCCAGATTCCGTGCTCCTCCGCAAGGCCCGATGCTTTGAGACCCAAAGAGCCGCTTTTGGACAAATCCTGGGCTCGGCTCTCGAGGCCGCTATCGCAATCCGTCCAAATATTCTGTTTATCGAACATTCGAACTCCAAGTATGATAATCATGACAACTTCTGTTATTTTCCAAACACATAACATAACCCTGAAATACTTACACCCCAAAGCAGCAACAACTTCCTAACATGATCCGATCATGCTTAAAGCCCCATGCCCCACACACACACACACAAAAAAAAAAAAAAAACTCTAAACCCTAAACCCTAAACCCCTAAACCCCCAAACCCCCAAACCCCTAAACCCCTAAACCCTAAACCCCCTAAACCCCCTAAACCCCTAAACAACAACAGGGAAGTTCCTCCTTTAAAAGGCCCAGGCTCCCTTCGCGCCGCGCGGAGGGCCGCTGCGGTCTTCGGCTTCTTGGTGAGCCAACGCTGGCTTCCGCAGGCCCTGCAGCGATCTTCGCCCTGGCTGTTCTGCTGCTTGAAGGGTTTAGGGTTTGGGCTTTAGGG